CATTCGTCTTCGCCTTCTTCTCTTTCGTCGCCATCTATCGCCAACCACAGACCCCCACCTGGCCCTTCATCTCTGCCTCTCACACTTGTTCCAACAACATGGATGGACGCAGGAAGAATATACGAAGATACATGTATCTTCTGTGCTGCATTGTGGTACTCTTCGTCTGCATCGTCATGGCCTGACGATAACCAAGGCGGGATACGGCTCGAAGGAGAAGACTCGCTTTCAACGCCCTCGTACGGGAAAAGCAAAAGCATGTCAGTCGAGACCGGACGTAGACGCTCTCCCTCGGGGGAGAGTCGAGCAGATTCGTCTCAAGGGGCGAATAGAGTAGAGAGAGCGTTTAGGCGGGTGAGCGAGGGCTCCAATGCGGTGTTCTCAAGTCGGACTTGGGCGAGCAAGGGGAAGCTTGCGGAGGAGCCGACGGAGGTATCTGCGTCACCTGTCGGAAGCGAAGAGGAGGAAGAGACGTCACGTAACGCTGCTGCTACTGCTTTGGCTCGTGCGTTCACAACATACCACGTGCGATTGCTGCAAAGACTCAGTTTGCTTGTGGGGGAGGTGACGCCTCTTGGTTCGTGTAACGACTTGAGCCTGCAGACTGTAGTGCTCTCCCCCAAGGACCTTGCATCGTTGGATTTGGGCCCGTTGAGTGTGGTGGATGCTCGATGGGTTGAGTGGCTCGCCGATAGCCATCCAGGTGCGGTGCAGAGTGGTGTCCCGTCAGCCAGGTCGAGAGGAAAGACGATAGTGAAGGTGCGGAGGGCACGGTGGAGGGATGTATTGGGTGTCGTCTTTGGGTTTAACTGAGAATTGGATGGTATATATTGATTAAACAAATACTGTAATTGGACGGTTTGCTGCGAGTCTGTTGTGTAGGACGATACGGTAGTGGTAAGTGAGCTAGCTGTCTATGATGCAGTAAGCTGGCTGACGAAGCGTTGTAGTTGAATATTAGTGAGTCGGGCGTGCTGAATAATACTTGCGCAGAAAGGCATTTTACTTCCGTTCTCTTCCACGTTGACATTTAGGTTGAGTAAGCTGTGGCAAGGTCAGTAATGGCGTTTCCCTTGGTGTAGTCGATTTGGAGGCACAAGCGGTTACTTACTTTGTCCAGGCTTTGTCAGCAATTGGTACGTGAGCTCTTTATTCTACTTACCTTACACCCAGGAGGCCTCAGTCGCCGTCGTTCGTAATAGTCTTGTGTAATCTGACGTATACAACTTCGTAAACAAAACTAGACCAGACCCATTAATTATCGCGCGGGTTGGCGCATGAAGCTAACGTATAAGAACCAAATACTCACTCCACCCTTCCTGGCACTGTATCGCTTCTCCCCATCTGCTGCAAATATTCGCTATGACAGATAACACCGCACCAAAGAAGAGCATCCACGAGTTTGCAGACAAGGACGGCCAGTTTCGTAGACAGGTCTCGTCGTTTCGCAGTCGGGTCTCCGCAGACCCCAACGCAGAGTTCCCCGCAGAGGCGGACCGTTATGTGAGTCGTCATTTTTGCTACCTTACTATGTCATGTTTTATATCCTTTACTGCAGGTGTTATATATCACCCTTGGATGTCCGTGGGCACATCGCGCTAACCTTGTGCGCTCGCTGAAAGGACTCGAGGATATCATTCAGCTTGTCGTCATGGACTATACCCTTACCGAGGAGGGATGGTACGTTTATTCGTATTCTCTTCGAGCACGTTTTGACCGTCGGTTCATCGCAACAGGGTATACACAGGCGTAGACGGTACTGCACCATGCGACCCGCTTTATGGGTTCACTAGACACAAAGACCTCTACCTCAAAGCCGATCCATCCTTCGTTGGTCGATACACCGTTCCTGTCCTCTGGGACAAGAAACGAGAGACGATCGTCAACAACGAATCGAGCGAGATCATTCGGATGTTTTTCACGGCCTTTGACCATCTGTTGCCTCCGGAGAGAAGAGAGTCGGCACACGGGTTTGGTGGGTATTATCCTGAGGGTCCCCTTCGTGGGCAGATTGACGAGTTGAACGATTGGGTGTACAACACTGTCAATAATGGTGTTTACAAAACTGGTTTTGCATCTACCCAGGAAGCATACGAAAATCACCTCTATCCTCTCTTTGCTTCCCTCGACAGACTCGAAGCCCTCTTGAAAGACAGCGCCGAGGGTGGAAAAGGACCGTTCTTGTTCGGAAACCACATCACAGAGGCCGACATTAGGCTATACACCACAATCGCGCGGTTCGACGTTGGGTACTTTACGCTGTTCAAGTGCAACTTGAAGATGATTCGGTACGAGTATCCTCATTTGGACAAGTGGTATAGGAGGTTGTATTGGGACGATACGGCGTTGACGAGGGGGGCTTTCAAGAAAACGACGAATTTCGACCACGTAAGTGTATACTCGTCACCCATGTGTCCTGTTTACTTATATAAGTCTCGTTGTGCAGATTATCAAGGGATATGCTGCTGCGTTGAAGCATAAAACGTATCCTAGAGGGCCAATACCGTATATTTTGCCAGCACCAGTAGAAGAGGAATATTAATTAGTAGAATGTCATCCTGAATTCATGAAACCCCTATAATGTATTGTTTGTACTCTACACATACCAGTTCCATTAATTCTCATAATTCGATAGTCTCAGAAAAGTACGAAGCGCAAGGTATCATCATCATAACGCTATAGACGGACACATGAGAGTTACAACACAGCGAGGAGTACATCACATTTTTATGCGCCGATGGGAGGGACCGCCAGAGTCACCTTCTCTCCACCAACCTCACTCGCACTCACGTCAACTTTGCCATCTTCCGCGATAAGAATCTGCACCTCCAGCGTCGTCTTCTTGTTTCTAGCCTTCTTCGACTCTAGGAGCGCTGCACCCAGTAACTCGTCCTTGCTGATGATCCTATCTTTCACCTCAATGTCCTCCTCCTCCTCTTCATCCTCCTCCTCGGGTTCACCATCCTCCGGCTCGAATTTAGGCGGCTTCTCTAATGTAATCTTGATGCTCTCATCTACTTGCCACAACTCGAACCCAACCTTGCCCTCCTCACCAACCTCGACGCCAAACCTCACAGTCCTGCGACACGGCAAAACCGTCTCACGCAACACGAGGGGAATCCACTGTCCACCCAACGCGTTCTCCTCCTGCCCTTCAGCAGACGTCTCAGGGAACACCAACCCAATACTCTTACTCGTCACCTTCACCCCAGTCCAATTCTCCAACTTCTCATGGAACGCCGCCTTCACCTCCTTCTCCTCCTCACTCGACTCTCCCAGTCCGGCCAACAACTTTGCCTGCACGACCGCACCACGACTAAGAAGCGTCGTCGGGTCACCCACACCACCTCCAACGACAGACCCACTAGAGAACGGCGTGACAATGTCCTCGCGGAACCCGATCCCCGCGAGATGCTCGTCCAACCCCGGGAGAGACGCGCTCCCACCGACGTACACGATCTCGTCAACATCGAACAAATCCAACCCCGCAGACGACACCAGCGTCTTGACTTGCTCGCCCACACCCGCATAGACGTTCCGCACCTCCATGTCGAACCGCATACGGTTGATCGACCCCGTGTAGTCTATCCCGTCCTTGAGAGACTCGACGGAACACGTCGCAGCACCGCTCGAGGCGCTGACGGTGCGCTTGGTGTGTTCGACCGCGAGGCGGAGTTTAGCTTCGGCGCGTTGGTCTTGTTTGGAGTCGGCGGGGGCAGGGGCGACTGTGAGCGGGATTTTAGTCTTTTTGGTGAACTCCTTGGCGAAGAATTTGATGAGTTTGGAGTCGATGGCGTCTCCGCCGAGAGTGTGGTCGGAGAGGGTGGCGAGGGAGTGGATGAGACCTTGGCGGATGCTTAGCAAGGAAAGTGCCAGTGCTGAGGAGCCGAGGTCGACGACGAGTTGTGTGCGGTCCCCGGAGAGCGAGGTGGTGGTGGAGGCGGGAGCGGTGGGGTTTGAGAGAACAGCGACGGCTGCTGCACCGGCTTCTTCGAGGAGTTGGAGGACGCTCACGCCAGCTTCGGTTGCAGCGTCTTCCAACGCTTTCTTCTGCTCGGACGTGAACCACGCAGGAACGGTGATGACCGCCCCTTGAACCTTCTTGCCCAGGAAGTCTTCGGCGGATTGCAACAGCGACTTGATGAAGATGGTGGTCACTTCGGAGACAGAGAGGATACGCGTCGCGGGGGTGGGCTCGGAGCGGGGTGTCGCTACGCGAGAGGCCAAGGGGGTGTTTTGCTGAGTGGTGGTGGTGGAGGCAGGCAGAGGAAGAGGTGCGGATTGGAGGATTTGAACTTTGTAGGCTGCAGTGTCCGGCTGTTCAGGGTGTTCAATGACTGGTGCGGAGGTGGTAGGCTTGGAGGTGTCGATTTGGGAGAACCTGCGATGGGGAAAAGTTGATGAGACTTGAAAAAATCATAACGAGGCTAAGAACATACTTCTTGCCCAACAAGTTCCTGAACCCGGTAATGGTATTCTGAGCGTTCTTCACAAGTTGATGCTTGGCTTGGTTCCCGATGTACTACCCAATGCAATGTCAGCGGTACTTTCAGTATAGAATAGCCTGTCACTCACGATCTCCTCGCCGTGGAAGCTGACCGCACAGGCGATCTGACGTTCCCCATCCTCGTTTGCAATGCAATCAGGATTTCCTTGCTACAATCCATCGCAAAAAAAAAAAGAGTTACGGTTCGATAATTGCAATCGCACAAGAGCACACACACACACACACACACCTTGTTCAAGACGGAAATCGACGCGTACGAGTTACCAAAGTTGATACCTACAACAGTGGGGTTGGCGAGATCAATGGGAGCCTCTGCGCTCCCGTTTTGTTGGTTCGAGACGGCCATGTTTTGTGTTGTGGGTTTCGGTGGCAGAAAGAGCTCTGAGATGAAAGTGGCCGCCTCGGTTTAGGTGATGCTGAGATCTTGAAAGTTTTTGGTATCTAAAAAGGTACGTGAGCGACTATGATATATACTGTGAAATTGTCTTTTAATGGGTCGATGGCGTAGTTGGTTATCGCACCTGTTTTACATTGTTAATAATCACAGAAGGTCCTCAGTTCGAGCCTGGGTCGACTCATTTTTTTCTTCTTCGCACCAGCACAAGTTTAACATAAGTGGTACTGTGCTGTACAATTATCAATATCAATTCATCTCTCTCGACTATACTTACACCGAGGAGATGTCATCGTCGACCGATCGGTCCACGGCAAATAATCTATGTCACCAGTTCCTCTCAAGATAGAAACCAACGCATCCTGCATCCACCCCTCTCCCTCCCTCCACTCCCCCTCCACTCCCCACCCGCGCACCGTACACACCGCTCTCTCCGCTCTCCCATCCAAATCCAATGCATCCCACGCCTCGTCGTCGTCTTCCGCCGGTACACGATACCCCATGGGAAGACCAAGCAAATGGTAATTGACAAGTAACTCAAGTTCGGCGCCGAGAGATCTGCGAGTGGGACAGTCTCCACGAGGACAGGAGGCTATGATGCGGAGGAGGGAGGCGTAGACAGCAGATGGTCTGGGGATAGATAGAGTGTACGTTTCGTGGCGTTCTTCGGTGAGCTCTGAAGGAAGGAAAGGGCCGGCGAAGGAGAGAGGTACCAAATGAAGGAATTGTACGGATCCTAGGGTCGCGGCGCGTGTGAGGCGGTGCAGGCGACCTTTGGTGATAAGGTCACCTTGTGTCTCGACGAGCAATGAGGGGGGAGAGGTGAGGGGTAAGTGCATCGTCGTCGAAACCATGTCAGAGGCGGAGCTAAGTAGCTCGTCTGGGACGAGAAATTGAAAGTCCTATACGAGAACCGTTAAACGTTGTCCGCCAAATAAGAATAAAAATATATAGCAATAATTGACGTACGAGTAACACTTTTGGGACGTTGAGTCTCCTAAACAGCAGAGAACCCCAAGGTATCAATGGGGTGATATTCTTCTTGTAGAGTAGGGTCAACGCAGCTTCCACAAGATCACCAGGTAGTTTGTCAAAAGTGCCACACCAATCTTTCGTATCTGAAACAGCGCACTTCGGGGTAGTCATGGTTATGTCGGAACTCCGGACAGTGCAAAAGCGAACCGTCCCATCCGAGGCGGAAGCAACTGTTTCTTGGAGTTCCATTTCGGGAAATTGAGTCGATTTCACCTTCAGGGGCCTCCGAACGAACCTGAAGCGGCAGCTCCTCTCACCCGCCACCGTTAAAGACCACACGAGTGTCCAATTGTTCAACGTTCAACATTGGCGATCAATTTTCTCCACGAACCCCATATGATGGCACAACGCATCTCCATCTCGACCTCGCACAAAGTCCAAATCGTCGCTGCAAAGCTTCTCTCGGATAGGTCAGTTTATAAACGGCCGCTCAGCAGTGGTCTTATCACGTACACTCGCCTGAGGCATGTAAAAATAACAGGCTAGACGACCTCGGCTGCAAGCACGCGTACATAGGAGGGTTCGCATGGGCACTCCTCGGTAGTCAACGGTCCACCCAGATGAGTCTACCCTTCCCCTCTTCTCCCTCGACGGTCGGAATAAAACTTGAACTAAAATCGGTGGTTTTAATGAATGTACGATATAGACGTCTTGATACAGCTGGCCGAGGGACAGGATATGTTGGCCGTACGAGACCGCCTTGAAGAGCTGGACGAGCACTTTGTGAACGCTGGATTGAAGTTTTTCTTTGTTCAGGTGTGTGGACGAGCGTGACAGGGGGTCGACTCACTAAATGCGTATTTTTTTTTTGAAAAAAAAAATACTCCGCTTCTACTCTACTAGCACCCAGACTCGCAATTTTGCCGCGAAGAACTCCTACGCGGGTGCGCAGACATCGTCTTGATAGAAACGCTCGCCGCAGGCGCACTCGGGTTGCCCACCGTCGCCGGGCCAACGTACAAAGTCCCCTTCTACGGTAAGCAATTCCAGTTTTATGAATCATAAACGCACTCACCTTCCTATGATAGACATCCCGATCCTCCATCCAACCATCCTCATTCTCACCAAGCTCAAACGCTGGTCCACCACCCACCCCTCCACCCGTCCCCAAACCATCACCAAAACGCGCATAGACAAAAATGACATCACCTTCATGCTCACGTACCTCTTCTCACACTCTCTCCATATCGAGTTCACGAAGTATGCGGGAAAGTCGAGGGAGGAGTTGGTGAGGATGGTGAAGGGGTTTTATGACAAGTTGGTTGAAGGTGGAGAGGATGGGACGGTGAGGACGTTGAAGGGCGTGATGTATAATGAGGACTGGGAGATGATGGTGGGCTTGCCAGTGGAGGCGGAGGAGAGTTTGGTCCCTCCAATTAATTAGTGGCGTGGCAAGTCGACTGGAGTGCCGGTAGATGAGCGTGTGCAATGAGACATCCAACAAGCTCCTTAGAGGGTTGCATTTAATCTTGATATGATAAAATGAGGGTGGTACGGTACAGTGTAAGGGAATGTAGTGCCATGAGTGCGAGAAACCCTACGGTGGACTTGACGGCGGGGTGAGCAATTTCTTACCGTCCATATGTTTCTCCTTCTTCAGATGCTCGACCGTGACGTCGACGACCCCCGAATGTTCGACGAGCGACGGAAGGTCGAGGTCGCTGCAGCCAAAGGAGAGACGGGACTTGATGCGGAACTTGCGGTATTCTGCACGGGAGAAGAGAGAGATGGGGATGGGGACGAGGAAGGAGAGGGAGAAGGTCGAATGGGAGGAGAGGTGGATGGAGATGCCGGTGGTTGTGGACGTCTTATATAGCGGGGAGTCGTCGATGGAGAAGAACTCGATCTGGAGACGCTCGAGAGGAGGGAAGGTGTATGCGGTCAAAGGAGACGCCGTGTCTCGAATGACCAGCGTCCCATGCCACATCAAAGTGTCACTGGAAAAGGAAGGTGTCAGCGTGGTGGCGTTTGATGAAGAAATTAATGACAGACGTGTGACAGGCGTCCCATATGGCGAGGTGCTTCTCTTGGGGAATCACGTGGACATCGAACCGACCTCGCGTCCATCCATCCAGCAGCGTCGGATCAATCAAACACGCCGTCGCAAACGTCCGTCGGGGGGCGGGCTCATCAACGGTCGCTGGTGTCTTGATGGAGGCGGGCACTTGAGGCTCGGACTCGGAGATGACAGACATCATCGACGAACTCGTGCGGGTCAATGCGCGAGCAGAGGTAGACGACTCGTCGATGGACATCATTGACGACGACTGACGAGTGAGAGGTTTTGGTTTCTTCTCTCTTGACAAAGACTTGGCGGCGGGAAAAGGAATGCGAGCATTCTTGCCATGGTCGACATTGACTGACGTCGTAGGACGGGTGACAACAGCTCGAGCGGGACCAGCCCGACCAACGTCCAGCGGTGGTACACGAGCGTACCTCCTCTCCTCCGTGCTAGCCTTCACGGTCTCCACAGACGAGCTCGAATCCGTCCGTACACGCTGCCTCACACGCGCACCTCGCGACGTAGCAGCCACAGACGACTGGTGCACAGAATCCAAGTCTGCAGACTCTCCATCCGATTCGACTTCTCTGTAACTCCGTTTGGGATTCGGACGCACAGGCGAGAGACGCGTGGGGTGCGAGATCGTCGGTGGAGGAGAGGCGACGTCTTTGTGTTTGCTGGGGCTGAGGATGTCGAGGACTTTGCGGGAGAGGGAGAACCGGCGTTTAGAGGAGGAGGAAGAGGAAGAGGAGGAAGAGGAAGAGGAGGAAGACATGGTGGGAGCTCGTCGATCCAGCAACAAGAGTCGTTTGAAAACGGGCGTGTACCTATCTATGGAGTCTTTATAGATCCTTGGAGACTTTATAGTGTTCTTGTTATGGATACTTGTTATCGAGTACAAAGAGTGCTTTGACCTAGGTTTCTTCTGCAATGGCCTGGGATTGTCATAATGCACATGTCTAGACTCGGCTTTATTGTTCGTTTTGAAGCGTCGACAGTTGTACAATGGGAGAGCCCATCGGGTACATACCTTTGGCCCTGGTCATAACATGGTGCGTTACTTGGGAGAGTTGTTGTGGTTGTGTCACGCTAGAACCCGGGGCTTGTAGTAAGTACTGTACTAGGTCGTGCGAGGATAAAACATACTTACCAGGATAATGAAATTTGTAGTAGACTCTTTCTTCGCCTTTCATCGTGGTACTTACCACATCGCTAGTAGTACTTACCACTGCACGAGTAGTATAAAAGACGGCGGGAGGTGTCATCATAGACGCGTTGATCACGTGCCTCAGTCATAAATGAGAAACGCGTCCGCGTCTTGCTTTGCTGAACGCGACTTTTGCCTCGAGCTCACACACCAGGAAATATATCAAGTACAAACCAGCGATGGCTCGCTCGACAACGCGTGCACAGCGTGCCTCTCAGTCTCAGCCTACACAATCTCAAACTCAACGTGCCCCTCGTGGTTCAAACTCACAACGCGCGCGGCGGAGGAACGACGAGGAGGACGAGGAAGACGAGAACGAAGACGAAGAGAACGAGGTAGAAGGCGAAGAACAGGTTGACGTGAACGAGGTTGCTGAGGACGGCGGAGATGAGGTACGTATCATCTCCTTGCGAGTTGGAAAACCGCATCAAAACTTAATTGACCTAGGACCTACAACGACGAGCACACGCGCTCGTCCGTCTCGCGCTGTTCAACGAACAGCGTAGGTTACCCCTCAGGAGGGACGAAATTTCCAAGAAAGGTGTGTCGTTCTCTTTGGCTTGCATATCAAGCTTTGTGTGCTAACGTTGGAACGTTATATGCGGCTAGTTCTCGGGTCGAAAAGTAGACAATTCGGAGAGATTCTCCAACTTGCGCAGCAGACTCTGCGGAAGACGTTTGGTATGGAGTTGGTTGAGCTGCAGCGGGGGTTGCAGGGGGGTGAACTCGACGCGGGCGTAGGGAACGGTCAGAACAAGGACAAGGATGGGAAGAAGGAGAAGAAGAAGGGTGTGGACGCGTTGGGTATGAAGAAGAAAGGTAAACGTGTTCCAATCATACATATAAAAATAACCACCAACTCCTCATTTCTCGCATACACAAGCCGCACCATCAGGCACCAAAACATGGATCCTCCGTTCCGTCCTCGACGACCGTCTCA